ACACTCCAGACACGCCGCTGGCACTAGAGGCACAGCATGGCCGCGTAGTGACGGCCCCGACCACTGCCGCTCGACCTGACCGGAGAAAACCGTAGCAGGAAGCTAGCGAAGTCGTAGTATATATCGTCATATATATATATGATTGGAGACACAAAATGAGCATGTATCCAAACAAAGATTATGTAAAGTAGAAAGCGGTGGCACAAAAAAAAACAGACGAAAAGCGTAGAGAAGGAAGGAGAGAGAGGAGAGAGAGAAGGAGCAGGAGAAAGAGATAGGACACGTGAAAAAAAGCCATGTAAAGAGACCCAGTACGCACAAAAAGGATCAGGCACTTGTTAAAATGAGAGTGCACAAACAAAGTGCCATTCTGGCGAGGTCCCTACGATCGTTTCAACCGTCCGCCAGTGACGGTATCATCAGGGGACGATCAAGCAACATAGGACCCATCCTGTTGACCACCATGTTCAACAGAGTGCAACAAAGGAGATTATGCTGCCTCAAGCCAAACTAAGATGCTCCCAAGAAAAAAGCCACATTAGGAAAGAAACTTTAAGAAAGAGGGATTCTCCATTTTTACCAATGTGGAGGATCGTTTGCACCTGTGTGACTTCTCCTGAGCCGAGTCTTGTAGGATGGGGAAGGAGAAGAGGAAGGGGAAGAGGAAGGGGAAGAGGAAGGGGAAGCAAAAGCGGAAGGGGAAGCAGAAGGGGAATGGAAGCTGAATGACAAGGGGAAAGGGAAAGGGGGAAGGAAGGGAAGCGAAGGGGAAGGGGAAGGGGAAGGGGAAGGGGAAGGGGAGGAGGAAGGGGAAGGAACGGGAATGGGAGCGGGAACGGGAACGGGAACGGGAACGGGAACGGGAACGGGAACAGAAACGGGAACGTGAACGGAAACGGGAACGAGAGCGGGAACGGGAACAGGGAGGGGAAGGGGAAGGAAAGGGGAAGGGGAAGGGAAGGGGAAGGGGAAGGGGAAGGGGAAGGAAAGGGGAAGCGGAAGGGGAGGGAAAGGGCAAGGGGAAAGGGAAGGTGAAGGTGAAGGGGAAGGGGAAGCGGAAGGGGACGGGAAGGGCAAGGGGAAAGGGAAGGGAAGGAGGAAGGGGAAGGGAAGGGGAAGGGAGGGGAAGGGAAAGGGAAAGGGGAAGGGGAGGGGAACGGGAAGGGGAATTTACCTGAATTCCCCACACACATAAAGAAACACTTACACAGAGGGAGTTTACCTGAATTTACCTGGGCTTTCTTGAGGGAAGCTCTTCTTGCAGCGCACATTGATTGCCATTGAGATAAAGCACCCTGTCAAAGAGTTCATCTCTTAGGGACGGTCCTGAGGCACAATAGGCATATGCAGTTATATGCAGCATTCAGCAATAATTTACAGCCGGTGAAAAGACGATCATGGCTTGGGAAAAGGCCTAGAAATCACTATGGATTGTGACTTGCACAAGGAGGCTTTCATGAGGTTGGAATCGGACGGGAAGTCCTTAGTCAATCTTAATATGATCCTATCTATTCAGGAAAATGGCATGACACATGACAAAAAAACAAGATTAACTTATAAGCACATATTATAATGTCCTTTTTCATCAAAACAAACAAACAAACAAACAAACAAACAAACAACCAAACAAACAAACAAACAAAAGAAACAAATCAGTAGAAATTACATCTGATATCCTAAAGAAAGCAGCTGTGGAAACGGTCTATGACCAAGCCGTTTACGGAGGACCCGTCCACTATCTAAAAAGGTCTTCGGACACCCAAGTACTGGTCTTATTTTGAGATTAAATGTTTCCAGAAGCTGTGACAGTATAGTCTGTAGCCAATTTGGAAAAGAAGATGTCAGGAGACTATCAATCAAAACAACATATATACGGGCCCGGGAAAATGGGGGCCGATCTCAGCGGTCCACTTGAGACAGACTACATGGCGGAATGGTATAGGGCCCAAAGGAAGATAAAAGATAACCCAGAAAAGGCGAAGGAAGTCGAGGGACCCATAAGAGAGATTCACCCAAGGCCTGTTGGGAGGAGGTCGGATAGCGAGGACTGAAGGCGAAAGACTAAATTTTGTATGGTGGCTCAGGGGGAATGTCCAGGAAGTACCACGTTCTCAGTTTGTCGGACGTGTCCCAGGAATATCTAGCTTTAACATGGGAACACCGTAAGACGCTTTGACAGGTACGGAACCAGGCAGGGAATGGGACTAGGAAAAGTGGTTCACTTAACAAAAGACTTGATCAGCTTATTGTATTGAATCCATGCAGTGGGACCGAAAGGGAAACCGGGTTTCTGGAAGAACCCTTAAACCACCAGTACATGGCCCCAGGCAACTGGAGAACCTGTTTTGAGCCTCTCCGGAAATTTAGGAGGCCGAGCGTCGTAGATAAAATGAATCGGCAGTGGACGGCCTCCGAAAGTGGCCCGCGGCTGATAGCTGGCATGTACTGGTGCTTTAACAGACTCTCCATTCTTGTACGTTACGATTGGATTTTTGGCTGTTGCAAATTGTACAAGGTCAAGAAGCCGGCGGTGACCCAACCAGAGCTGTTGAACAAGAAGTCGGAAATTTTCTCTCACACCTGGTTTCTGGATGGTAAAATCGCATCAAGAGACGGTCTGAGGCTGCGGGGGAATAGATGGGACACCGCCTCCTAAGTGTGGGCCAAGATAGGTGTTCTGCGGGCAACGAGACAAACTCCTGAGGTACATGGCTCTTGCAATCAAGCTGTTCTCGCAATCTCAGCTTGAACTGAGATTGACAGGAATCCTTTGCTTCAGCCAACCTGACTGTTGATCCTCCTCCTGGGCGCAACCGATGCTGGTCAGGGGTCCTTGCGCCTAGATGGACGGAAGCATGGTGTGGTGCCTTGTTGTACTCCTGTTTTATACTTACCAGTGGAATGGAACCGGCCGGTAATTTCCCTGTTACAGAAGAGGGGTCGGCGCAAGATTTCTTCCCTCCTTATTGGCTTGGCTTTTTCGGGGAGGGGGAGTTCCCTCCAAGCCTGAAGAATGGAGAGCCAGAGGTGGTCATTACCTATATCGCCCCTTGCTGGTGCTCTAGGGGCGGGTGTCCTGTCTGTCTGGTGCAGATTATTTTTCGGTAGGATCCACAAACTGTTCTGTAGCAACTATGGAGGATGGACTTGCTCCTTTGTCTCCGGGGTCAGTCTTTCTTTTTTCCCGAAAAAAAACACCACGTCGAGGGTGGTCCACTGGCGTTGTATGAGCACCACCAGGTCAGTCTAGAGAGTTCAACTTGTTCCAATGCCAGTGGAGACCAGACTGCTCAGGCTTGGAAGATCAGTTCAAGAATCCACTTTAAGGATAGTGCTTCGATGTCGACGGCTGGGTCCACTATAGCTACCTTCTTCCCCCGAATACAACGTTTTTTTTTTTTTTTTTTTTTAAACCGGGCCCAGTGCCCAAGGCTGATATTACCAATAATAAGATTGAGGCCATATGGTCGTTATAGCTGCATTTTGAGGCATCTTTCAGTCTAGACTCTAGATACAGGTATAATGACCATACGTCGTATTCGGGGGAAGAAGGTAGTCCCTCTCTAGCCTTGGCCGAGGTGATGGTATCCCATGCCACCATGTCGATGGCATTGTTTTCCTGTGCGTTGTTTCTCCATAGGTAGGCTGCTACTTGTCTTTTGAGGGATGACAGTGCATCTTTTGAAGGTGACCATAGTTCTGACTTATACCGGCGCGTTCCCGGGACCAAACTGTTGATGACTGCCAGTCTCCCTTCAGTCTTCACCCAAATAGAACGCCCAGTCATTATCGCTGCATCTGGACCGAAAAATGCCCCAAATACAGCTATGATGACCGGGCGATATATTCGGGTGAAGACGGTAGTACGGATGTCTGCTTGTTGTTCCAGGCTGGCAGTTTTTCTAGGGCAGGTCTTAGGCACCATTTGTCATTACCTGCTGGTTTTCCAGAAGGGGCTAACAGTCTTCACCCAAATAGAACGCCCAGCCATTATAGCCGTATCTGGTGCAATTTTCAGTCCAGATACAAGCTATAATGACCGGGCGTTCTATTCGGGTGAAGACGGTAGTCCGATGCCGCCGAACACCCTGATTGGTTCTTCCAATGAGGTCCATCTGATCTTTTGTTCTTCCGGTGGCCTAACTCCTTGGTGTTGATCCACCATCCTTTACTGTCATGTCAGAGAGACCGCAGAATCTATCCATGAGTTTCTAGACTACCACGAGGTTGGCCTGAGTTGCGTCCATCGTCGAGGACAGATGATCAGCAAACTGGGAGCAAATAGCGATGACCTCCCCCCGGATCGCCGCCCATTGGATCTTGGAGATATCTTTAAATTCTGAGGTCCGAGGAGATGGCTTCCACTATGACAACGAATAGGTACAAGCAGCGTTGGGTACACATTACACAGGCTGATTGGCACCTATCATGATTATGTGTGGTTGGATCAGAATTGGAATGAGCCTCAAAGCTCACCACACGATGGAGTGCTCCACACCAGCATACATGTCACACAGATTGTCTTGTCACACAGTTGCACAAAGAGAAGATGAGTAGTAGACCAGAAAAACGCAGCTCAATTATCTCAACCAGAATTATCACAACCAGATTATAGAGAGAGAATCAAGAGTTCAACTGTCCAGTGCTTCACAGGGTTACAAGTTTTCTTCAATCATCAAGAGTCTCAACATCTGCGCTCATCAGCGCTCGTCATCAACACCAAGTTCAGCACTCTTCAGGTAAGTATCCACCATGTCTCTCTCTCTCTCTCTCTCTTATCTATCTCTCACTTGATGATTCTGGTCTTCTCTCTACACAGTCTTCTTCTTCTCTCACATGGGCACTCCCTACTACTAACACACACATGAGGATCAACTCTGAATACCAATCCACCATGTCTCTCTCTCTCTCTCTCTCTCTCTCTCTCTCTCTCTCTCTCTCTCTCTCTCT